CAATTAAACTAAAAGCCTCCTCGAGCTTGTTTGTTTCTTACATTATTATTATTATTATTATCTTATTCTTTTTTTATACTAATTCTTTTCGAACCCCTCCCTCCGCCCCCCCCCCCCCGAAAGCAAAAGCAAAAGCTCTCGTTTACATCGCTCTTGTTGTTTTTGTTGTTTTTGTTAAAGTCGTTTCGTATTGTTGTTTTTTTTAAATAATAATAATAATAATAAAGTTTTAGTTATATACGGTGACAAAATGCGGAGAATTTTTCCTATAAATAGTTGCGCATGTTTAAATTTAAGGATTTTTAAAACATTAATCACAAACAAACAAACGAATAAACAAACAAACACAAGAAACGTTAACGATTCGAAACCGGTAATAAAAAGTTTTAACTTTGACATTTACAAAATTTAAATTTCGATTGTGAAATTCAAAGTGAAAAGAAAAGGCGGGGAGAGGGAGGAGGGAAGGAGAGGGGGAAAAGGAGGGGAAAAAAAGACAAAAATGGAAGGAAAATAAATGAAATGAAATGAAGAGAGAAAAAAAAATTTCTCATGGTTACATTTTATAGAAATTGTATATGATTTTTTGCAACGAAGGAACAAACAAACAAACAAACAAACAAACGATTTGCATATAAACATATATATATTTTTTTATTTCTTTCGGTCGATGTTATTTAAAATTTCGCGCGTTTAATTTTTTTGGTTGTTGTTTGTTGTTGTGGTTGTTGTTGTTGTTGTTGATTCCAGGAGGTGGTTTAATCGATTCAGTTTTGTTTGTAGATTCCACGCGGCGGTGACATTTTTCTTATTATTATATTATCATTTTGTTAAATAAATCATAAATTTACTTTAAAAGTCATTTAAATCGCGAGTGAATATGACGTGGATAATTTTTTTTGTTTATGAATAAAATAGTTTGAATAATGAAATAAAGAGGGCAACACAATCGATTGTTTCAATTAAACAAAAACAAACAAAAAAAAATTTAAATTGTTTTTTTTTTTTCTATATATGTATATTTTATCGTCATTCCAATTTTTAAAATTTAAAAAAAAAAAAAAAAGCAGAAGACGGAGAGAAGCAGAAGAAAAAAAAGTTTTTTTTGTTTTGTTTTTGTTTTGTTTTCCCGAAATGTAATTCTGAATTATTTAACGTTTTTTTTTTTTTTTCGTTGTTTTTTGTTAAGTTTAGTTTAGTTTAGTTTTTTTTTTTTTTTTTTTTTCTTTCTAGAAAATTCGTTCCCGTTTTACAAAATCAATTTATAAACTTTTGTTGTTCTGTTTTTGTTGTTTTGTTTTCTTTAAGTTTTTTCCTTTTTTTTTTTTTGTTCATCATCGAGAAAAGAGTTAAATGCGTATAAATTTTGAAAAATTTTTTTAAAAAGAAAAGCACATGACCGTAACATTTTTTTGTTTTTTATTTTTTTTTTATTTCGGTTTTTTGCACGTTGAAAAAAAAAGGAAAAAAGGAAAGGAAAGGAAAGGAAAGAAGGAATGAAAAGAAAAAAACAAGCAAGTGGACAATTGCCAAAAAAAAAAAAAAAGAAAAAGTCATACGGTGTGGAAATTGCCCAATAAAAAAAATATACTCGAAAGGTTTTTTTTTTTTTTTTTATGGTTCACGCAAACAACGAACGAACAAACAAACAAACAAACAAACGAACAAACGCCTTCCCCTCAAGTTATTTAACCAGTTATCGTTTCGATTAAAAGGTTTTTTTTGTGTAAAACTTTTTTTTAAATTTCAAATGATCCAAACGAAATCGAACGAATAAGAAAATTTTTTTTCTAAGGTAATAAAATGAGGGGCAAACGCGGGGAGAAGGGAAAAAAAAATTTTCCAACAGGAAAACGTAAAGGGAGAGGTGGGATGGAGTAAGGGGGGAATTTAACGAATTCATTTTTACAAAAAAAACAAACAAACAAACTTATAAATAAGCATTCATTCATTGTGTGCTGCAGTTTTGAATTAATATAAATATAATTTATTAATTACGTAAATTGTTGTTGTTGTTGGAACGAACGTTTTTCACGTTTTTTTTGGGAGGGGGCGGAGGCGAGGAGGGTGGGGGAGGGGGCGGGTTTACTACGTCAAAAAAAAAAAAACAAAAACAAAACGCGGAGGTTGTTGTGGTAATAAATTAAATTTTATTTTTTCATTTTTTTTTTTAATGTCGCGTAAGAGTCACAAATTTAAATTATTTTGTTGCGGTTAAAAAATTTTTTTTTAAATTCCCGCGTTTTTTAAATGTTTCCGGTGTAAAAACGAAAATGGCCGCCGCATTCAAAATCGGATACCCGTGACGTAATGAAATTTAATTAATTTTTTTTTTTTTTAAATCGGTTTCGAAGTGTGTTTGTGTGTGTTTTTGTAATTTTAGGCGTGAAATTTATTCACGGGTAATCGATTTCGTTATTTTTTTTCTAATATTTCCGGTCGTGAATTTATCTAAAACCGGAAACGTTTAACGATAAAAATAATGGTAATAATAATGATAATGATAATGATAATAATAATACGAATTTTTTTTTTTTTTTGGAAATTCGATATTCGTAAAAAAAAAAATTAAGGAGAGAAATAAATCTTTTCATTTCCTTTTTTTCCTTTTTTTTTTTTTTTTTTTTTTGTTTTTACTTTTTTGTCTTCTGACCCGTTAAAATCGTGCCTCATCTCGAATCGAATCGAAAAAAAAAGATTTGCCACGAGTTTTGAGATTAAAAAAATTTTATAAAAAAAAAAAAAAAAAATATTCGATAACCGTCCGTACCTGATAAAAATTTTTACTTTAATGGCGCCTGACTTAAATCAACGTTTAAGTATTTGATTTCGTATGAATTTGATTTTATTATTATTATTATTATTATTATTATTATTATTATTATTATTATTATTATTATTATTATTATTTGAGCTTATCGTTAAGTCATCTCCTTAAACGGTCGAGTGTCGAATTTAAAATTTCCGTAAAATTATTTATTTGGTCTCGTGACACGACATTATCGTACCTCGATACTACTCTTTTTTAAGTTTCCTTTACTTTGGGGGATTATCGAAGGAGTAGGAGTGGGAGGAGGAGGAGGAGGATATCGTGTCAGTTGTGACACGTGAATGATAAAACGATTATTATATTATTATTATTATTAGGAAAATGTAAACGTGGAGGAAGGAAAATCGTTATTATCGCAGTGATAAAAAAATATTAGTTTTAAATGAAGGATACCTGATATACGTAATATTATCGCCTTGCCCCCGGGGTATTGGAAAGAGGGGGGGGCAAAAAAAAATTTTGCGAAGGTTAAAAAAAAAAAGCGACTTTACTGCTGCCACGTTTATTTTTATTTTTATTTTCCTTATTTTATTTATTTTATTTTTTATTTTTTTACTTGTAAATGTTTATAATTTATTATTTGAATAAACAGTTTGCAGTTGAATTTTTTTTTTTTTGTGCAGAATCTTTGAATACGTTTTTTGGCAAAGGAAACCGACCGTTCACTTACACTTTCCCCCCTCTCTCCCCCTGTCTTTTCCTCTTCGTCTCCCTTTTCTGTCTTTCCCTCCCCCTCCTCTTTTTTTTTTAAATAACGTTCCAATATTCTTTTCATGAAATTTCCCGGATTTTTTTATTTTTATTTTTTTTTCAAAATTATTTGAATAAAATTTATTGGAGGTGATAAATTTTTCACGGATATTTTGAGTTATTTATTTGGGGAGACTTTTTTTTCTTTCAAATGACCCCCGTTATTACTCGTTACTTCCTTTTTTTATGTTTTTTTTTGCGTTTTTTTCCTTTTCGAATCATTTTATTATTTGATTTTTGAAGTCGCTGAGTCGGATTTATGAAGAAAATATAAAAAAAAAAAAAATAAGTCGAACGTCTTTAATTTTTTTCTCTCTTTTATCTCTCTCTCTCTCTCTCTCTCTCTTTGTAATTCTCTATCTTTCTATCTCTCTGTCTGTCTCTGTTCTCTCTTTAGCTTTTCTCTACCCTGTTGTCTCGTTCTATCCATCTCTTTTCTCTGTTCCTTCGTTTGGCTTTTCTCTAACTCTTTGTTTCTCTTTCGTTTTCTTTTAATTTTTTTTGTCTCTTCTTTTTTTGTAATTTCCTTTTTAAAAATAGGTTTATTATTATTATTATTATTATTACAACTACGTACTAAAGCCTACTTCGAGAAATTAAAATTTAAAAAAAAGAAACGAAGCCAAAATCATCGTCGAAAAATTTTTTCAATTCTTTTACTGGCCATTTGTCAAAATATTAATAATAATAATAATAATAATAATTATAATGAAAAGAGTGTCATTAGAACGCGTTCAATAATATTAAAAATAAGAAATAATAATAATAATAATAATAACAATAATAATAGCAAGAGAATGACTCTTGCATAAATTTTTTAAATTTACCAAAAATTCTTTCACTTTAATTATTATTATTATTATAATTATTATTATTATCGTTAATATTATTATTACTATTGTTGTCATTATTATTATTATTACTATTATTATCATTATCATTATCGTTTGTTTTTTTTTCTTTTTTTTTCCAGATACCGAAAACGCATCAAGAATTTATCGTAAATCCAAAATCAAAATAGTAACATTAAGAAGACACGAAATAAATAATAATAATAATAATAATAATAATAATAATTAATACGGAACGGTTTTAAATTACACTAATACTTATACGTACGAACGCACGAACGCTTACGTAAATAATTTTTTTTTTTTTCTATTTACACGTCGGTATAAATAAAAAAGGAAATGAATTATAATCCACATAAATATATTTTATAGGAATAGTGAAATAATAAAATAATATCGTAATTGTTTTGTTTTGTTTTTTGTGTTGTCGTTTTGTTTGTTGTTTTCGTGAATAAGTAGTTTAAAAAAAAGTTTAATAAATAAATTAATAACAAATTTTAATAATAATAATAATTGAAAACGGTTTAAATATCGAAAAAAAAAATAAATAAATAAATAATTAAATTAAAATGGTGGTATGTTTTAGTAGTAGTTATTTTTTAAATATTATTTTTATCGGGATATTGTGGTGCAGCAGCAGTTGCGGAGTCACCGGTAAACAATCGACATATTATCAAAATCAGTTTGCCGTCCATATTCCAAGTGGTAAAACGGATGCTGACGAAATCGCGAGTAGACATGGATTCGTTAATCTCGGAAAGGTAAGTTTGTTACTATTATTATTATTATTAATTGATCGGGTGATAAGGTAACATTGATAAGGTCACGTTTGTATCGGTAGGGGTACTTTTTTTTTTTTTAACGGTTTTTAAACGTCACGTGATCGTGTAATAATTTTAAAAAGAAAATTAAAATTTAATTCCACGAAAATTTAATTTTTTTTTTTTAATTTGATTTAATTTTTTATGGTGAAATAATAATAATGATAATTAATTGTAAACGAGAATTAAATTTGTTGTTGTTGACGCAGTCAATATTACGTCATTGTTCGTTTCTAAAACCACGATTTTTTTTTTTTTTCGTAGAATTTATTTTTCGATTAATTAATCAATCGCTATAAGCGTTGGGAAAGAGAGATTTGAAACAAAAAAAGTGGCAGAGGATAAATAGTTTTTTTTTTTCTTCTTCTTCTCTCTGTTGCGTTTGTTATCTGTCTTCTTCCACGTTTTTTTTTTCTTTCTATTTTTACGCCGCGTAAAAATGGGTAAAAATTACGATTTATTTAAGAGAGGGAAATAAATTTTACTTTTTTTTTTTTTTATTAACCGTTAAGAAGGCATAATAATAATAATAATAAGAATCGAACTTTTAATGACTCCTCTTTTTCATCTTCTTCTTCTTCTTCTTTCCCGTTTCTTTTTCTCTCCCTTTCTCTCTTTCTCTTTTTAATATTATCGGAAAATTAAAAAGTAATAAAAAAGAAGAGAAAGAGAGAGAGAGAAAAAAAATTTTTCTTTTTTTTATCTCGTAATATTTATTACCCGATTAAAAAAAAATTTTTTTTTTAAAAAGAAATATTATTATTATTATTATTATTATTATAATTAATTACGGTGATTTATAAGTATGAAAAATTAAAAGTATGATTAATAATAATAATAATATCGAGAGGGATGAAGCAAATAAGAAAGAAAATAATAATAATGATAATCGTAATATTCGTACGTCGAAATTTATAATAACTTTTATTTTTCTTTCGCGAGAGTCGCGATCATCTAGTTCCACGTCAGTGAAAAAAGATCGAAAGAAAAAAAAAATATTCTTATTCTTTTCACCTTAACAAAAGCCATTTTGTTTTTTTTTTGTCGTTGCCATTGCTGTCGTCGTTACTGTTGCTGTTGTCGTCGTTGTCTTTTTTTTTTTTTTTTTCGTACAAGATATTTTCAGCTTCGAGTCATATAAACTCTTTTTATTTCTTTTGAATGTTTTCTTTTTTTTTTTTTTTAAAAAAAATAAACTTTTCCCCCACTTTTCCGCTCTTACATCTCTCTCTCTCTCCCTCCCTCCTCATTTTCCCCCTTCGGTTTCTTTTCTTTTCTTTTCTATTTTTCCCCGTTTTTTTCCGGCTTTTTTTTTTTTTTTTGGAAATTTTTTTTTGATGAGTTTTATTCCTAATGGTTTTTTTATACCTGAAAAAAAAAAACTGTTTACGTAATGAGATATCGATTATTCGATATATCGATCGTAAGAAGCAAAAAAAAAAAAAAAAAGAAAAAGAAAACAGGGGCGTATAAAGGAAATACATTTAAAAGAAATTTTTAAAATCGTAATAAATAAAAAAAACGCAAAAAAAATTTTTAAATTCAATTTAAACAAAAAAAAATGAAACGGTTATGATAATAATGATAATAATAATAATAATAATAATAATGTTGATGATGATGATGATGATGATGATAATGATAATGATAATGATAATAATAATAAATTTTTTTGGCATTTTTTTTTTATTACACAAACGTTCGATTCGATTCGATTTTTTTTACGGTCATGCATTTAATTTTATTTAATTAAATACCTTGGGGGACCGTTCGGTTGCGTTGCGTTGCGTTTTTTTTTTTTTTTTTTCGAACAACAACCTGTTGCTGTTGCGGTTTTACTTTTTTTTTCGTAATGATCAAAGGAAAATTTTTGTCATGCAATTAAAAAAAAAAAAATTAAACGAGGGGAAGGGAGGGGGTAAAATGAAATGAAACAAAAAAAAAAATTTTTTTTTTAATTGCGGTTAAAAAAAAAAAAAAAATTAAATTAATGTTTTTTTTTTTTTTTTTTTTAACGAACAAACAAACAAATGGAAAAATTAAACAAATAAATAAAATTTTGCCGCAAGTTAAAAAAAAAAGAGGAACAGGAAGGAAACGTTCGGTTTTTTTTTTCGAACGTTCCCGTTCGATTTGGATTTAATAATGATAAATAATAATAATAAATTCAAAGAACGTTATTGGTGGGTTGCGTTTGGATTTTACGTGTTTTCCTGCCGGAATGTTTGTTGACTGTTTCGACCATTTAATGTCAAAGTTTTTTAACGTGTCCTTTTTTTTGTTTGTTTCGCTTTCACCCCCCCCCCCACCATCACCACCGCCACCGCCACCGAATTCTCTTAACAAACGATCAAAAAAAAAAAAAAAAAAAAAAAAAAATTAGGTAGATAATTTTTTTAAAGGATTTTTATTTAATTTTCTTCCCCCTCTCCCCTCAAAAAAAAACATACCGTGGACTAAATTAATTGTCCATAAAATGAAAAAAAAAAAAATCTGGAAAAAAAATAATAATAATGATAATAATAATAATTTCCAACATTATTTTGGCACCGGTTTTTTTAAAATCCTTTTATTTTATTTCTCCAGAGTTTTTTACTTTCCATATGTTTTTTGTTTAACCGTAGAAAAAAATCTCCTGTTTTTTACTTTTTTTTGTTATTATTATTATTATTATCATTATTATTATTATTATTATTATTATTATTATTATTATTATTATTTATTTATTTATTTAAAAAAATTTTTTTTTCCCTAAATTTTGCCCGTGACTTAAATTTAATTATGAAAAATCGTTTCTGGGAAAGGTATTTTCCCTTTTTTTTTTAATGCGAAGCGTAATAGGTGGGGGGATGGTGGTGGTGGCGGGGGTGTGAATGGCGAGTAGCAAAACAGACAAACAGGATAAAAAATAATAATAATAATGATAAAAATTTTTTTATTTTTTCAATGTTTGCGTTTTCCTTTGCCGTCTGATCTTGAAATTTCACGATTTTAAAATTTATTATTGAAATCTGCCTTTTATTGATTGTCGAATTTCAACACCGGAAACGGGGAGAGAGGAAGGGAGGGAGGGAAATTTTGGATTTGTCGTTTTCGAAATGTCTTTTTTTTTTTTTTTTTTTTACGAAAATGATTTACGATAACGGTTTTGATGATGTATGATGATAATGATGATATCGGAAAAAAAAAAGAAAATGGAAGAATTCGATTTGCACCCCCTGACAAAATCATGTACGTTGATTTTTTTCCGTTTGTTTGTTTGTTTTTGAAAGACCAAAGAGAAAATGAAGAGCAAACGAAAAAAAAAAAAAAATGCTTATTGGTTTTCTCTCTCTCTCTTATTTTACTCTGGGGTTTTTTAACGTCCTCAACGGTCAACCGGTTTTTTTTTTTTTTTTTACCACGACCGCAGTAACAATAATTTCCCTTTACCCCCCCACACCCTTCATCCCCCATTTAACCATTGTTTTAAATCCTCTTATTTAACAAAATAACCCCCGTACAAATGTTGTTGTTGTTGTTTGTTCGTTTTTGGAAACGATAAGGCAAAAAAATGTCCGATGGGAACACGCGCGTTCGATTTTTAACCACGTTCGCACGAATGAAAAAAAATTAAAAAAAATTTTTTTTTTCTTTCTTTGTCTAATCGTTCCTCTCTCTCTCTCTCTCTCTCAATCTCCGCCATTTTAATACGGTATCAGGTATATATACCCCGTGAGTTAAATAAAATATTTTTATTAATTTTATTTAAATTTAGCCAAAAAAAAAAAAAAAAAAAAATTTTAGTATTTCTCTCTCTCTCTTTCTCTTTCTCTTTCTAAAGGTCAATAACATTTGTATTCACGCGTATTTATTTTTTACGCGCGTGCTCCTTTTTAAAATTTGAAAATTTTTTATTTTTTCCCGCCATTTTTTTTTAAATAAAAAAATTTAACGAATTTAAAAATTGATGATCGTTGATTATTTTTTTAGTAATTGAATATTCGCGTAGGGAAATTCGTTTTTCCAGAGTTTTCAATTTCTTATTCTGTCTCTCTCTCTCTCTCTCACACACACACTTTCAAATTCATTTAAAGTAAAAAAAAAAAAAGAAAAATGTCGATATTTAATTGTGATGAAAATTACGTCAAAAAAAAATTTATAAAAATTGAAAAGAATTGCGATTGAGTTATAATTTTAAATTTTTTTTTTTGAGTTCTCGCGGGTCACTTTCACTTCACTTATTTGGTTTTCTTGGCCAACATTCCAGATTTCAAAAAAAAAAAAAAAAATGCGTAACCGTTTTTAGAATTAATTTACAAAAGAGTAAATATTTATATTCTCGTCCAAAGTCTTTCAAATTTCAATAAATTATTATTATTATTATTATTATTAATAATAAATTTTTAATCGATTTATTGAAATTTGAGTCGTGGAGGGTGGAAAATGGTGGTGGTGGTGGTGGAAATTATGATAAAAGCGTAAAGAGAAGATTAATTAAAATAAAAAAATTTTCACGTTTTCCCCATTATTATTATCATCATTATTATTTATTTATTTATTTAATTACGATTGATAAGACGTTTCGAATTAGAAAAAAAAATTATTTTGCCCTCGATTAAAAGAAAAAAAAATGAATAAGATTGATTGATTGATTGATTGATTGATTGATTGACGGGATTTTGTGGAATTTGTTGCTTTGCATTTCATATCAAATCGACTACGTGTCCCGCCGTGATTAATTTGAGATTTCTCCCCCCTCTCTTTCTCCCCAATTCTTGCTCCCCTATTGATTAAAAAAAAATATTTCGATTTTTTATCGGGGCCAAAAGAAAAAAAAAAAAGGCGTAATGGAGTCGTCTGCTGCAAAAACGCACAGCGAAAAAAAAAATAACAAATAACAAAGAGAATTTTTTTTTTTTTTCTCCTCCGTTTCGAAAGCAATTTAAATTTGTCCTACTTTACTTGACATAATTTTCTCATGGCCGATGCACAATTTTTTTTTTTTCGATCGATGATGATGATGATGATAATAAAGACGACGTTTGAAATAATGGGAAGAATGATGTGTGATGGGGGGTGGGAAGGGGGGAAGGGAGGGGAAAAGAAAAAAAACGTCACGTTGTCATTCGTTTGTACATCTAACACGTTGCACATCACGTCGATCGATGATTTTCGGTTGTTGCTACAGAACGTAATAAATTATCGGTTATCATTATTATCATTATTATTATTATGATTATTATTATTTTTTTTTTCTCCAGTTAAAAACAATAAATTTGGCGGGAAAAGAAAAAAAAAACTTGTGGATGATTTCCGTAATTTTTCACTCTCGATCAATCGATCGATCGATTCGAGTCTGTTTCGATATTTGAATTTTTTTTTTTTTAACAATAATAATAATTTTTCCATTCACGTTCGCTCTCTCATATTTTTTTAAAATTTCGACGCCGGAAGCGGAAAAAATTTAAAATTTAACGGTTTCCCCCCTCCCCTCCTCTCCTATTCAATCAATCAAAAGGGAAGCTTATTTATTTAATCGATAATATCGTTAACGTTTTATGTAATTTTTTGAAATTTTCCGTAGGCGGAAAAGGGAGTAGAAAGGGAAAAAGAAAAAAAGGAATTGATGTCACGTGCGTGATAAACACGTGGTGGTTGGTGGCAATATGGCGAATATAAAACAAAAAAAAAAAAAAATGGGAAAATCCATGAATTTTGTTTTTGGCAGTCTCTATAATTTGTATCTTATAAAAAAAAAAAACCGTTACGAGTCGAGTGAAAGCCTTCGTTTTTCAAAAAAAAAAAAAAATTCAAATTTTTATTTTTATTGCCATCATTATGTGTGATACGAAAACTCCACTCATTGATTGGCGTTAAAGTACTTTTTTTTTTTTTTTTTTCGGTTCGAATGGTTTAATATTCAAAGCAAATATCAAAATTTAAATAAAATACTAAATTTTACGTGATGATGCTGCAGCAACAGCAGCAGCCGCAGCAGCAACAGCAGCGGCATGAACGGCAGCAAATTTTTTTTTTTCTACGTTTTATATTCCCATTTATTCTTACGCGTCAATTTTTTTTTTTCCATGAATCGTCATCGCGTTTTTTTTAATTTTTTTTTCTCCAAACCGGAAGTGAACTTCCGTTTTTCGAAAAAAAAAAAAGGAAAATTTATTATATTTTATTGATTAGTACGAAATTTTTTATCCGTTTTTCCGACAATATTTCTTTCTCGCTCTTTCCGGTTCGTTTGTTTGTTTTTTTTTTTTTTTTACTAAAGTTCGTAACCTACAAACGACAAACTTTTATTATTATTATTATTATTATATAATTTATTTTCGGGTCAAGGAGAAAAAAGACGGGATATCGGTAAAAAAATAAAAAAAAATTTTTCGGATTTTCATTAAAAACGTTTCATTTCCGTTTGATAAAAAAAAATCGATATGTTATTATTATTATCGTCATAGTCATTTTCGTTTGTTCTCCGGCGTTGTTATCGTCATCATTATTATTTCGGCCCCCTTCTTATTGATACGACAACATGCACTTATTCCGATATTATTTCTTTGATAAATAATAATAATAATAATACGAAAAGGTTAGCAAATTGAGGTGACGTTGGGTTGTCATCGTAATACGACAATCATTATTATTATCATTCGTGTCGATATTCATTTCCGGTTTTTAAAAAATTTTTGCCCTTGGAAACGAGAAGGAAAACGAGAATTAATCAAAAAAAAAAAAAAAAAATTTTTTTTGCGTTTATTAAAGCAAAAAATAAAAAAATAAAAAAAAATAAAAACAAGCAAACGCGCTTTGTCATTTACTTAATTACGTATTATTATCATTATTATTATTATCATTATCATCATTATTATTATTTATAATCTAAATGCGAAGTCATTAATTTAACGAGAAAAAATAATGAATTGTTTTTTTATTTAATTTTATTTATTTATTTATTTTTTTTTTATACAAATTATTAAATTACGTCATAAATTAAAAAAAAAAAAAAAAACGTCATAAGATTGACGTGTAACCTTTTTAAAGGGGGAAAAGGAAAAAAGGAAAAAAGAAAAAGGAAAAAAGGAAAAAAAAGGAAATGATGAAAACAAACGAGCCGAGTCGAGTTTTTATTTAATTTATTTGCTTTTCTCTCTTTTCCCGCGCTTTTTGTTATCATTATTATTATTATTATTATTATTATTATTATTATTATTATTATTATTATTATTATTATTATTATTATTATTTAAATGATTCTTATTATAATAAAAAAAAAAATTGTTAATTTTTAATATATTTAATGACGTTTCGCAGTTCGTTATCATCATTATCATCATTATTATTATTATTTATTTAAAATTTACGGTTTTTGTTTAATTCGGCTCATTACCCTTTTGGTTTATTATTATTATTATTATTATTATTATTTCTTTTTTCTTTGTTGACGTTCGAGGGGGGGGGGAGAAGAAAAAAAGAAAAACGTTTTTATCGATATCTCCATCGAAAGAGAAAGAGAGAGAGAGAAAAAAGGAAAAGAATAGGGTTAAAGGAATAAGAAGTAAATTGTGAAGCGGAAGGGGAGAGAGTGGGGAAAAGGAAAAAGGGAGGTGGGCGTGGAGATATGGGGGCGGGGGGGGGGAAATTTTTTCGAAAATTTAAAAATAAAAAAATAAAAATTTAAAGTTTTTAAACATTGAACGAACAGATCGTCCTTTCAAAACTTGGACCCTCGGGAAATTTCAACTCTCGATTGCTTTTTCATTTTTTTATTTTTATTTTATTTTTATTTTTTTCTTTTTTGGTAAGGGGGATACCGAGGATTGGGGGGGTGGAGTGGGAAGAGCGGAGGGGGGTTGTAAAAAAAGAAAGAAAAAATTTTTATAAAAAGTGTCGTCGTCGTCGTCGTTTGAGGTCAAAATTGGAGGGGAAAATTTTTTTTTTTTTGATTTTCTCGAATTAAAATTATAAGAAATTGAGTGGGTGGAAAGAGAGAGAAAGAGGGAGAAGGGAGGGAGGGAGGGAGGGAGGGAGAGAGAGAGAAAGAAAGAAAGAAAGAGAGAGAAAAGGTTGAGGGTGAGAGAGAGAGAAAAGGTTGAGAAGAAAGATCGACAAAAAAATTTTTTTTATTATCTTTAAAACGTAGATAATTACACTTATTCATCATTTCCTCCCCTCCCCACTTCCTCCTCAAATTTTTATTATTATTATTATTTTATCCTCGTTTTTGTTTCTGCTTATCATTCTGGAAATTTCTACAACCTTTTTTTTTTTTAAAAAAAATTGTATTGACGTGATGTCATCCGTTTTAAACGTGAGGATTTCGCGGGAGGTGGGGGGAGCGGAGGGTTTAAAAAAAAATTATTCTAAAGATCCCGACGTGTTCGGTTCTCTTTCTTTCTTCTCCCCCAATCGTGTTTACATTTTTTTTAATCATTTATAACCTCATCAAAGTGATATTGTCTGTCGTGTGAAAAACATTTTTATCGTTTTTCCTTATTTCTGTCATTCTTTAAGATTTACTGGGGGGGAATCCATTTTGTTTTATCAATTCGTGTCATTAATTTTCAAACGTTTCAAAGTCGAAGGGAAAAAAGGAAAAAAAAAAACGCATTTATAAGTGACGTATTTAAAATGTAAAACACAAATGGTTGTTAAATTGGTTGTTTGTTGTTTGTTTTTCCTCTTGTTTGTATATTGTTTTGTTAATATTTGATACGAGGAGGAAAAGACGAAACGAAACGAAAGCGAATCCAAAACGCGAACGGTTTATTATTATCATTATTATTATTTATTAATAATAAAAATTTCATACGAGGAATTTATTTACATGAAAAATTAATAAATAATTTTTTTTTTTTAAATGAGAAGAGAAAATAAAGACGAAGAGGGAGAAGGGAGGGAGAGGGAATAGGAAAAGGGGGAGTGAGAAGGTAAGAAACGAGGAAGAAAGAAAATAAGAAAAAAAAATAACTAAAATGGTTAGTTAGTTGGCTGTTGTTAAAAGATGCTGTTGTCTCCTGCAGAGAAACCTCGAAAATGCTATCTTTGAAATATTATTATTATCATTATTATTATCATTTTTATTATTATTATTATTTATCTCATAAATTTTACCGTAAAACGCAAGAATTTCAGTTTTTTTTTTTTTTCGAAAGAAAAGAAAAGAAAAGAAAAGAAAAGAAAGAAAAAACATTAAAAAGTTTTTTTTTCCTTCTTTCTTTCTTTCTTTCTTTCTTTCTTTACTGTCTTAATTTCCTGGTTTCTGTCGTTTGAACTTTTACCCCTGGGGGAGGGGGGTAGGAAAGAAGGGAGGGAAAGGGGACTCGTTTAAATTTTTTTTTCATAAACAATTTTTTTTTTGAGGTGAAGGTTCGTGCTGAGGTTGTCGACGTTACCTTAAAAAGTTTCAAAACTGAAAATTCTAAAAAAAAAAAAAAAAAAAAAATTTCAGCTGTATGTAATGCCGAGGATGTCGTCGGTTCGATAAACGACAGCAAAAAATCGATATCTCTTTTGCAAAATGTAAAATAATAATGATATTAATAATATAAACGGCAGCAAAAAAAAAAATTACAAACAATATTTAGTCGTGGTGTAAAGATAAGAAAGAGAGAGAGAGAGAGAGAAAGAAAAGAATGAATGAAAAAAGAAAATAAAGGTGAGAAAAGATTTTCTGTATCCTCCTCCCTCCCTCACTTCCTCCATCTCCCTTCTTCCTCCGCCCCCCGAAAAATATTTTTTTTTTTTTACAAATTTCGTACCTTAATAGATGTCATTACCAAATATTTTCCCTTTTGGTTATTTATTAACTTAGCTTGAAATTTTCAGTGGCGGAATAAGTAAAATGGCATTGATAGTATGGGATAGAATTTTTTCATTTATTCATTCATTCGCGAATATTTCGAAGATTTTCCAGTGTTTGTTGTTTGCGCCACGGTTCGTGGCTTTGTCGTTTGTTTGTTTTATTCAAAGTCATTGTTTTCAACTGTCGTTCATTTTTTTTCTTTTTTTTTTCTTTCTCGTAAAATCCCACCACGTTTCCGTCACACGTGAACATGATTGTCAGTGTCGAATCCTTTTGTGAATTTTAATTTTATTTCAAAAAAGAAAAGCGACAGTGAAAAAAGGGAGAGAGAGAGAGAGAGAGAAACGACGGAGAGACAACAGAAAGGGGAAAAAAGTGGTCATACATTTAAAATGTGGGGTGGAAGGATAGAACAAACGCGTACATTTATGCGTGGAAAATTTTCGAAAACGTGTAACGGTTTTTTTTTTGTTTTTTTTTTTTTTTTATACCACCAGCAGACGACACGACATCGTCGTGACTTTTTTTTTTTTGGAAAGAATTTTAAAGCGTAGGGAAAGTAAAATAAAATTTTCGTCATCTCTCTCTCTCTCTCTCTCTCTTTCTCTCTTTTTCTCTTTATTCAAAAAAAAAAAAATTAAATTGTACTAGTTAGAAAAAAAAAAAAAAGAGAAAGAAAGAGAGAGAGAGAGAAAGAGAAAGAGAAAGAAACAATTAAATAACGTACGAAATTTATCATAATCGTATTTATTATTATTATTATTATTATTATTATTATTATTATTATTATTATTATTAATAGTATCGTTACGTAATATTCGTGTCGCGCATAATAATTTTTTTCTTTTTTTTTTTTTTTTTTACTTTCCATTAAATTAATTACGATCGAAAAAGTAATTTTTATTTACCAACCGTTACGACGGAGTAATAATAATAATAATAATAGTAATAATAATAATAATAATAATAACAATAACAACACAGTTTTTCGAATGCCACATTTCGCGTACCTGTAAAAATAACGTAATAAGAAAAAACACACGACGTAAAAATCGAATACGACCGTTATAAATCGTTGTTGTTTGTTAAAAGGGGAGGAAGGGGGGTCCGTTTAAGACTTTTAATAAATACGTAATTTTTTTTTTTACCTCTCTCTCTCTCTTTCTCTTTTCGGTTGTTTCCTTAATGTCGTCGGTTGTTGTCGTCACGTAAAAAAAAAAAAAAAAAAAAAAAAAAAATTGAAATAAATTTAAAATTATAATTTTTATCAAGGGGAGGAGAGTATCCTTATTTCATTACCGTTTTTTTTCCGCCTTTTCGAGCCTGAAACTTAATAGAGAGAGAGAGAGAGAGAGGGAGAGAGTGAGTGAGTGAGAGAGAAAGAAAATTTCCAGTTTCAATCATGATGGTTTTCGTGTTGGAAAAAAAAATTTTTTTTTTAAGCGTGCATTAAATGCAGTCGATTTTTTTTTCTTTTTTTTTCCTCCCCGAAGGGTTGAGAGTGGTGTGCGGGGAGGAGGAGGGGTAGGAAAATGAAAGATTGATATAATCAGTAGCGTATGAAGGATTTAATGGCAAATTTACTTAAAAGAAAAAAAGAATTGAATTTGTTTCCGCCCACGCACACACACACACACACACGCACGCACACCAATTGTCATTATTTAATAATCGTCACGCAAACTTTTCACCGGATGAAATTAAATAATTGCCATTACGTAATAATAATAATAATAATAATAATGATAATAATAATGATAATAATTGTTCGTAGTATTGTTTTTTAATTAGAAAGTCTGAATTACAAATAAGGGAGGGCGCGTTTACGTTTTGGAAATAATTATGAAAAATTTAAATAAATTTTTTTTTTTTTTTTGTTACGTTTCCCCTTAGTTTGGAATGTTATTTATTATCATCATCATCATCATTTTTTTCGTGCGTATGTAATGAAAATAATGAAAAGGTTTTCGTTTATTTATTTTGCCTTTTTTCCGGAGTACACGACGAGGAAAAGGTTGTTGTTGGAAGAGTATAAAACCTTTTTTTTTTTTTTATATAAAAGGTCGAATTTCAATCGTTTGAAGTGACACTTTTCCAGCAGCAGCAGGAGCAGCAGCAGAAAAAAAAAACGAGTCAAGTTTTTCACAAGCAAAAGGATACTTTTTTCTTTTTAATTTTTTTTTTTTTTTTACTTTTCCAGGTTCGTTTAAAATTTTCCAGGTTGATTCGATCGAAATCGTTTAAAAAAAAAAAAAAAAATTCGAGCGTTTATTATTATTTTATTTCTCACGTTACGTCATCGTTTTTTTTTTAAAATGAGATTTTACCATATTTTTTTTTTCCTGGAGAAGGAAAGATGGAGGGGAGAGGGAGGGAGAGGAGAGGGGGAAACGGGAAAAATTCCGCTGGAAAAAAAAAAGTTTTTCCCTCTTTTTTTTCTTTTTTGCATTTGAATATTATTAAATAAAAAAAAAAAAAAATTTTTTTTTTCGAGTTTTTATTTTTAATTTTGGGCGTGTGGGATCCCACGATTTGTACGTGAAAAAATCTTTAATTAAGTTACGGTGTGAAAGTCTCCACCCCTCCCCTTCCCCCCTTCTGGAAAAATAACTCCCCTTCTGGAAAGTTGAAAATGAAATTTATAAGTAAAGAGTAGTGGGGGGGTAGTGTGAGAGGGGGTTGTTGGAAAGGAATCAAAACGTATTTTGACGCTTGGAAAAAAAAAAAAAATTTTTTTTTTTTTTGTTCTTTTAATATTATTATTATTATTATTTTCCATCGTTTTTATTCCCTTTCCCTCCCCCCCTCTTTCTACCCCTTCCCCCACCCTTTTAAAGGTCGGGTTAAAGCGAGGGGGAAATTATTTTTTTGGCTTCGTTTTTTTTTTTTTTTTTTTTTTTTTTGTCATTACGAATTCCGTAAACGTTTCATGTTTAAACCTTATATAATTCATTGTTTTCATTACACCGAAAAAATGAATTTAGAATTTTAAGAACTGGAAAAAAATAAAAATAAAAACAATGAAGACGACAATAATAATAGTAATAATAATAATGATAATGATAATGATAATGATAATAATAAAGAACGGTCCAAATTATTCGTAACATTTTGCGAACGGCGGAATATTTTTTAAAATCGGGTAGAGGTCTGGAATGATTGCTGGAAAACTCCACGGAAAATGCGTGAAATTTGCCATGATTAAAAGCAAAAATAATAATAATAAGGTGTCCTATTGATGTCTTTTCATCTCTCTCTCTCTCTCTCTCTCTCCTTACCACTTTTCGAAAATCGAAAAGAAAATTTTTTCTCTCTCTTTCTTTCTCACTCTTTCTCTCTTCTCTCTCTCACTCTTTCTTTCCGCATTCTCCTTACGATTTCTATCACACGTCAATTTCTCTCATGTGAAATATAGTAATAGTGGAAGTTATGAACAAGAAAACCTCTTGTAATAATAATAATAATTCGGCCATCAATCAATAAAAGGAGAGGCTTTGAAAAGATGAAATTATGTGTTGCGGCAGGTGGTGGTAGGTGGTATCAAAAGATGAATGAACGAGAATGAGGACGAGGGAGGGAAAAAGTAAGAAGAGGAGCGGGAAGGAGGGGGAAAAATAAAAGAGGTTAAAGTCAAGATGAAATATTTTTTCATTTTATTTTCTATTTTTTTTTTTTTTTTTTTTTTTCCAAGGGAAAATTGTTATAAATTTTTTTTTTTTTTTTTTTTTTCATTCTGGAAAAATTTTTATTTTTATTTTGTTTCTGCTTCCCTCCCCCCCTCTATCCCTCTTTCTTTCTTCCCCTCTTCCTCTTCTTCCTCTTCTTTCCTCCAGACTCCCAAAAAAAAAAAAAGAAATGATATTAAAAATAAAAGAGAAAAAAAAATTTTTTTTCTAGAATTTTCGATTATTTTTTTTTTTTTTCGAAATCATTTTGTACTTATACGATCGGAATAGTGAGAGGGTAGGGGAGGGGAAGGGAAGGAGAAGGGAAGGGTGTAAAAAATTTTCCGTAAAAAAAATTTTCTAATGATTTTTGGAAAAGTCGAAAATACTTGCGTAATCGATGCTGGAAAAAAAAACGCACTTTGAGTTAAAAAAAACTTTTAAAAGGTTAAATTAAAATAAAAACAAGAGCGAGAGAACTCTCTCTCTCTCTCTCTATTTTTCTCTTACTGTTCCCTTATCTGACTATCTCTCTCTCACTCTCTCTGCGTCTGTTTTTCTTTCTTTTTTTTTTCGCGTGCGTGCATTTATGCGTGTTTTGCGTGTATGTGTGTGTATTTCTGAGAATTTTCATCGACTTTTCCTTTCCTCTCGCATATTTTTTTTTCGCTCTTTTCGTCACATTTTCTTCTTCCCCCTTCCCCCTCTTCCTCCTCTCTTCCAGCTCTTGGTTGTTTAACGAACGTTGTTAACACGGTTTTCATATAATATATAAGTTATTTAATATGAGTTTTTGGGAAAGTTTCGTTCTTGGTTTTCTTTTTTTTTTTTTTTTTCTCTCATATCACAGTCGCATTTATGAAATCCGCAAAATCGTGACTTTCCTTCTAAAACTAATTTTTATCCATCGTTTCGCGTGTTATTATTATTATCATCATTATCATCATTATTATTATTATTATTAATTTTATTATTTAGCGAAAGATATTTTTCGTTAAAAATATTACATTAATTTTTTTTCCCTCTCTCTCTCCTCCCCTTCTTGAATTAAACGGATATTTTATCACAATTAGGAGGATTCGGGGAGGGGAAAGCGTAAGTGGGAGGGGTAAACGAAAAAAAAGATGGTGGTGGGAAGAGAGGGGGAAAGTTAAACGTTGTGATAACGAGTTTTTTTTGTTCTGCGATATAACGTAAAAATTTGAAATTTTTTTTTTTTTTTTGACTTCACTAAAAATTATTAAAAAGTTTTTGTATTATTATCATCATCATCATCATTATCATTATTATTATTATTATTATTATCATTATTATTATCATCGTCGCAATTTCGGTTTGAAGTCTTTGATGTTTATTAAAAAACCGTTTAAACAATTTAAATTCAAATTTTTTTTTCGAAGAGGTCAACGAATGTGAAAAAAAAACAAAGGGAAGAAAGGGAGGGAGGGAAGAAAAGGAAAAAAATGAATAATAATGATGATAATAATAAATCCTCATAATTTCACGTCGTAATCTAAAAGGAAGAAAGAAAAAAAAGGGGGAGAGGGTGGGAGAGATTGAGAGATGGAGGGAGAATTTTCATT